CCCCCCCCCCCCCCCCCCCCCAAACACACACACACACCTCCTGGGCGGCGGTCTGGGCCGCCAGCGTCGCGTCGGCGGTGTAAAACAGGGTGCCCAAGTGCGCCACCGTGTCCCTCAGGCTCTCTATTTCGGCCTGCAGCGCGGCCTTGGACTGCAGGTGGGCCTCCGGCTCGGCCTGAACCGCGGCGTGCGCCTCCTGCGCCACGCGCGCCCCGGCTAGCGCCTCGTCCAGCCGGGCATGCAGCGCCGCGGCGGCCGCGGCGGCCGAGGTCCGCGCCGCGGCCAGCTCCTGGTCCTTGCCCTCTAGCTGCGCCTGCAGCGCCGTCTCCCTGGTCTGCAGCGCGGCCTGCGCCTCCGCCAGCTTGGCCCGCGCCTCCTCCAGCGAAGCCTGTCGCGAGGGGTCGAGATGTTTGAGGGGGACGGGTGCAATGGGTGTGGAGGGTGGTCGGCGGGAATGGTAGCTCTTGAGTCAGCAACTGAGTTTGGGATGCGTCGTCGGGGATATGGGGCCAGATCACCACCAGCGTTTCCCACCTCGAGCGCGGCCACGCGCTCCCCCTGCTCCGCCTCGCGCTCCCGCATCTCCTGAATCTTGGCGAAGCTGAGGCGCACCACCTGCTTGCTGGCATTGCCCACCGGCGTGCCCGCAGGGGGAGCTTGCTGCAGGTATGAAGGCAAATGCGGGGCACGTATGAGCTTGTGCCGGGTCTGGGTGGGGCGAATCTCACCACCAGGTCCCGCACAAGCATGTTCACTCATTGCTCTGATCTTCAACCCCAGGCCACCATGTGACCAGTGCGGGACCACCCAGAACGCCCTCTCCGCATACATACCGAGCATGTCAGCGCCTACAAAGAGACGCCCCCAACCCCTCATACGGCATCCCCTCCGACACCCCCCAATCACCTTGAGCTCCTCCAGCTCCGACTCCAGGGCCGCGGCGCGCGCCTCGGCCCCGCTCTTCAGCTCGGCCAGCTGCCGCCCGGCCTCCCGTACCTCGGCCAGGCGGGCGGCCAGCTCCTCGCACCGTGCCGCGCCTTCCTCCTGGTCGCGTGCGTGCGCCGCGCGTGCGGCCTCCAGGGCCCCACCTGCGCCGGCCAGCTCGGACCGCAGCGCCACGATCTCGGCCGCCGCGGCGTCGGCACGATGGCCCTCGCCCGTCGCCATGGCGCGCGCGGCGGCCAGCGCCGCCTCCAGTTCCGCTCGGCGCGCGGCGCTCTCCTCCAGCCGCCGCTCCAGATTCGTCACGGCCGCCGCCGACTGCCAGGTTATTTTTTGGGGGGGGGAGGGGGAGGGGGGGACGGCATGGTTTTGGTGTGGAGGAGCACATGGATGGGGGAGTACAGCCAGTCCAGTGTACATCGGCAGGATGTTTCGGCTCCCGTTCGTCCACCCGCGCGCAGCAGGCTCGTGCCATGGGGCACCGTGCCATGCAGACTGGGGCCGCAGTTCAGGATTGCGCCTCTGAAGCATCCCCGAGCCATGCACTCCGGCCAGCGAGCGCGCGCCCCTCCACGCCCACCACAGCTCGGACCGCAAACCTTTCTTTACACACCGAAGCACCCCCAGTCCCAGCCTCCCAAAGCACCCCCAACACACCTCGGCGACGCCCGCCTCCAGGCCGGCCACGGCCTCCTGCAGCGCCTGCGTGTCGCAAAGCAGGCGCGCCAGCTCGCCCTCCAGCTGCTCAAGCGCCGCGGCCTTGGCTGCCAGCTCCGCGCGCAAGCCAGCCTCCACCTCCTGCAGGTCGCGGACGCGCTGCAGGGCCAGGCGCGAAACCGTCTTGGCTCCCTCGCCCGCCGGCGTGCCCTGGGCACGTGCCTCGGCCAGCCGCCCCTCGGTCTCGCCCAGCCGGGACTCCAGCGCTGCCCGCTCCTCGTCCAGGCTCCCCGCCCGGGCCTCCAGCTCGGACACCTGCGCGGGGGTGGTGGGTAGGATGGGGTGGGCGGTTGGCGCGTGAGAGCATGACACTGAATGCAAGGTGCACCGGGCGCCCGGGTGTCCGCTCCCATCTTCCTCAGCTTCTAGACCCTGCCGCTTTCCCTCCCAGGAACCTAAACAAAAACAATTCACCGCACCAGCCGCTCCAGGGCCGCCGCGCTGGAGCGCGCGGCGGCGGCCTCCGCCAGCGAGGCCTCGTGCTCTCGCTGCGCGGTCGCCAGCTCGAGCGCGGCGCGGTCGGCCTCCGCGGCATGCTGGGCGCGCACGGCGTCGATCTCGGCGCGCAGGCCGGCGGCCTCCGCCATGGCGCAGGCGCGCTCGGCCTTCAGCGCGTCCACGCTTCGCTGCAGCTCGTCGCGCTCGCCGGCCAGCAGGCCGCGCTCCCGGCGCTCGGCGCGGAGCTCGTCGCGCAGGTCGGCGCCCTCGCGCCGGGCGGCCTCCAGGGCCTCGGCGGCGCCCCGCGCGGCCGCCACCGCGTCGGCGGCGCCGGCCTCGGCCGCGGCCAGGCGTGTGGACAGCGCGTCGACCGCGACGGCACCCGCCTCCGCCCGGCCCTGCGCGGCCGCCAGCTCGGCGCCCAGGCCGCGCAGGCCGGCCTCGGCCTGGGCGGACAGCGCCTCCAGGTCCGCCACCTGGCGTGACAGGGTCCCCACCTCAGCGTCGCGCGCCGCGAGTCGGGCGGCGACCTCCGCGCCATGTCCCTCGCTGGCGGCCAGGCGAGCCTCCAGGGCCTCCTGCTCGATCCTCTGGGGGAGGGGAGGGAGGGGGGGAATTGGGAATGGAATTATGGGTCGGCAGGTCGACGGGGTGAGGGCGGGGCACCCCAACAGACATCAATGCACTACGACGGGTCCTCAGGACTGTGGACTCTACCTTGCATCCCGACACACGCCGCCCCCCTCATCCTCAAGGTCATGACTCCATGACGAGCGCCTTCAGCACAACCCCTCTGTTCCACCCACCAGCTTCTTGAGGGCCTCGGCCTTCATGGCCGCCTCCGTGGTGGCGGCGGCTGCGGCGCGCACCATGCTCTCCAGGGAGGCGTGCTTCTCTGCCACCTGGCGCTGCCTCTCGGCGTCCATGGCGGAGATCTGGAGGGGATGACAGGGAATGACATGATCAAGGGGGGTGGCGTATTAGGATGAAGCCAGGCGACGCCGTGATGGCCAGGGCTGATGCTCTCAGGAGGGAACCCGAGCCACAAAAGTTTCTAACCGCTGCATTCACCCCACCCCTCATGCCAAAGCAATCCAGCAGGAATGGCGCCAGTCAGGCGCGCACCCACCTTGCTCTCCAGGGTATTGATGGCTTCATCGCGCTCGCGCTGCGCCTGCTGGGCAGCCGTCTCGGCGCCCTCGCGCTGCGCCTTCTCCTCCGCCAGCTGCTGCTGGGTGGCCCTGCACAGGTCGGGTGACGGATGGGCATGACTTGGGGGCGGCGTTGTGATGGGAACCATAGTGCGGAGATGTACCCAGTGGCGACATCGCTTCACTGTTGCTGCACAGAGGTTTCAATACACAGGCAGGCAACCTCACAACAGTACATTGGCCAGGCCGCCAGGGCGCTCGGGCGCCCTGCTCTCCAAATGAACGCACTTGATGCGCTGGAAGGCCATGGGCAGCACCTTTTTGGCGCCCTCACCCACGGGCGTGCCCATCTGCGCGTGAATGATGGCATGATAGTCCACGAGTGCAGGAAAGGCAGGCCTCATTCGGTGGCAGCCTCACCGACAGGCATGACAACACCCCACAGGCAGCCAGCCAGGTCTGACTGCCCTCTGCCTGGCCTTCCATGCAGGCCTGATCGCCCTCTGTCTGATCTCCCCTGAGCCAGCACCATCGCTCAAACCCGACCCTGCCCCACCACCCACCTTGGCCTGCTCCAGCGCCGCCGCCAGTGCCTCCTCCTTGGCCTGCAGCTGCAGCACGAGGTCGTGTTGCGCCTGCTGTGCCTCGGCCATGGCGCCGCGTAGGGCCTCCCGCTCGCGCGCCACCGCGGCGTCGCGCTCAGCCTCGGCGCCCCGCAACGCCGCGCCCAGTGTGGCCGCGCGGCGTGCCGCCTCGTCCAGTTTCAGCCTGTGTGGAAAGGAGGAATGGATTTGATGGTTGCTGGCCACTCAGTGTTTGCATCCCCTGGATGTCGACTGCCACCCAAAGCGCGCAAGCATCCCCACACTTGCCGTGCATGGCTCCGCCAGACCCAAACACAACCATGACCCATCCTCCAGTAAGACAAGACAATCACCCACCCCAGCTCTGCGTCCCGGGCCTCGAGGTCGGCCAGGCGCTCCTGGGAGGAGGCCACCTGGTCGATCAGCCCCTCACGCTCGCCGGTCAGGGCCGCCACCTGCGTGGGGGCGCGGAGGGGTTGGCAGGGCATTTAAATGTTGATGAGAACTAGATGTTGGGCGGGAGAGGCCGCGGCAGCAATGTCGTTGCGTGCTGCCGCTCATCCCATGCCCCACAGGAAGGACGGGGCGCCCTGCAAAACTCCCCCCTCATTCCGCCTCACCCAAGGCCACTCTCCCCACCTCCTGGGCGTGCTGCGACTCAGCGCAGCGTGCGGCCTCCTGCGCCTCGCCTAGCTGGGCCTCCCTCTCGGCCAGCTGGCTGACCAGCATGTCAGTGATGGCCTCCATCTGTTCCACGCGCCGCGAGGCGGCATTCATCACTGACAGCGCTTCGTTCAGCTCGCCGCGCAGGGCGCCCAGCGAAGCGCGCCTCGCCTGCTGGGTGGGAGGGTGGGGCCGAACGGTGCTGGGCAGGGATTTTTCCAGGGGGGGGGTGGCCTCAATGCCTTGCAGCCGCGATAGCACCACTCGTACAGCGCAAGATGGCAGCAATTGCCACCAGTCTGATCCCGTCCCCAACAGAGAGGCATATCAAGATGCCGCGAAGCACCCATTGCTGTACCGTCCTGCACAACGCCCTCCCAAATTCATACAAGCAACCTGCCAGACCGCGGCCGCCCTCCCAGGGCCGCAAAACCCACACCTTGGAGCGCTCATCCTTGTTGAGCTGCGCGTTCAGGCTCTCCACCTTGTCGGTGGAGGTGCGGAGGCGCTGCTGGGAGGCCTGCAGTTCCGTCAGGGTGAAGCGGGTCCGCTGCAGCTTGGCCTGCAGCAGCGCCATGCGCTGGGCGCGCTTCTCCACCTCTGCTTGTAGTGTCGACGACTGCACGGTGGTCGTGGCAGGTGGGCAGGGCATCGTGAAGGGTAGCTGGGCGTGTCATGCAGGGTGGCTGCGAATTGAGACCTCCCTTGCCCAGACTCCCCAAGAGCCTGCATGCCCGCGCTGTTGCCACAAAGAGCCTCGCATGACATCCCAAGGTCACCTGATCTGCACCACCAGACTGCAGCTTGCTTGACACTGCACGGGGCAGAGTAGTATGGGAAGGTGCTGCAACAGCAATGTGCAATGCACATGTGCCATTCGTACGCCATCCTACCTATCCCACTTAGGCCTAGAAACAGAGCATATTTCAATGTATGGAAACAACAGCAGAAGGCCTTCCATGTGCCCATGAGCATACCTGATGCATGTTCCTGGGTTTCAGCAGCCAGCTTGGCCTCCAACTTGGCCTCCACAGACCTCAGAGCTTCCTCGCGGTCACATCCGCTCGGAGTGGGCTGAGGAGAAGAGAACAGTGTCTGGAGGGAACAGGGAGGAGCTGGGCTTAGGTTGAATGGGAGCGAAACTTTGGAGAAGAGCACAATTCCCTTGCCACACCCATGCCCAGCAGAGACACGTGCAACACTTCAAGCCCATCGCCACCCGACATGCCGATACCTTGGCGCTGAGCACTTGCTCGCCGGGAGTGGAGAGGATAGAGTCGGCGCCTCGACTTTCTTTGGTGCCCCATGCCTGGATGAGATCAGATGCGGGGGTGAGGGCATCGCTCGGAGGCTGCCAACCCTGCTTTGTGGGACTGCTCGCAAGGAACTGGAACTGGGAAGACATGGCGCCACCTCTGCCGCCTGCGACTGAGGAACTACTGCGTTAATCCTGAGATTTCAACGAGAATATTGCAATGTCAACTCTACATCTGCAAGATCAACATCTCCGGGCCAGGCTGTTGTGCTCTGAGCGTCTCGATTTCCTAGGTTTCAAATCGGCGAATCTCCGGGACAAACGAGCGGCTTGATAGTTTGTCACCCCCCCCCCTGTCACCCTTGAGGGATCTGCAAGTGATTACATTCACTAGGTCCAAACATGGCCCGAGGTTGTCCGAGACTCATATAAATAGGATGCCCAAATCAGGAACGGAGGGCGCCAGCAATCATCTCTTCTGTCTTCTCCCACAGCTGCTTTGCCAGGTTGGCATCCTGGCCTAGCACACTCGTCCCTGTCACCTTGCAATCGGACAGGTAGGCTCCGCTCTGGCCGTTGAGCTCAGGGGATGTGGCAGCATAGACACTTGTTGCAGCTCCCTGGTGGGGATTGAAGATTGCACGTCAGTCTGGATGGCTTGGAGGCAAGCCAGAGCGGTCCCGCAAGGGCGAGGACAGCGACACCCTCGAGGGCCAGCCCTGAGACATGCAGCGCGGTGGTTCCCTTGACAATATAAATCACACTGTGCTCATTCCCACTCCGCCTGGACAACCTTCCTCTCACCTGCTCGGGGGACTTCAGCAGCGGAAAGAAGGGGATGGCCTTGGCAATGCGCACCGCAAAGTTGGACAATGACTCCCCACTGAAGAGGCTCGTGCCGATGACACCAGGGTGCAATGCAAAGACCTCGATGTCATCGCCCGCCTCTCTAGTCCTGCGCGCCAGCTCCTTGGCAAACAGCAGGTTGCAGAGCTTGGAGGCGTTGTAGGCAGGCCAGGCGCTATATCTGCGGCGCTCCCAGTTCAGGTCATCCATCGGCAGATCACGGGCACCAAAGTGAGCACGGGAAGAAAGCACCACCACACGTGCTGGGCGACCCTGGAATGGTTGTGCATGGATAAATCAGGGCGCATGATTTGTGGCCAGCCGCGGCAAGGAAGCAAGGTGCTTGACCCTTGCCCACTGCCTGGTGGCGTATGCCCCCACCGCTCCAGAAACTCCGCCGTCAACGGAGGCCCCCACCAGACCAACTTTCACCCGAGCCCACCTGCTTCTTCAATTTTGGGAGGAGACACTTGGTGAAGTGAAAGTGCCCAATATGATTAGTGCCAATGGACATTTCAAACCCTTCCTTTGTCTTTGCGGGGCCGCTCAGCACCCCAGCGTTGAGGATCAGGTAGTCAATGACAGGTGCTGCGGCTTGGATGGCCTCCACCCTCGACTGGATGTCATTCAGGGAGGCCAGGTCTAGCTGCTTTACCGTGAGCTTACCCTGGCAGGAGACTTGAAATGGTTTGCAGAATGGGGCAGGAACAGGGGCTGGAGATTACTGTAGCAAGGTCACCCCTACAATGTCGGCAACAATCAGTGATCAATACGACCACTCCCCACCTTCACTCCTTCCGCCTGCAGCCGATCGACAACTTTATTGCCCGCCTCCACATTCCTTGACGTGAATACGACATCTGCGCCGGCTCCTGCCAACGCACGCACGGTTTCAACGCCTATACCGGCGTTACCCCCCGTCACGACCGCGACCTTGCCGGTGAGGTCTACGCCGCGCACAACATCTTGTGCGGTGCTTCTGGAGCTGAATCGCGACATTGTGATCGGACGAAGCGTGGATCTGGTCCGCGACGAGATGAATACCATCGTTTGTCGGCCCAGCGGCAGGGAAGTTGCGCTGGCCAGAGATCGGCGGCTCGCGAGACCCAGGCAGAACCTGGGGCTCGCGCGAGTACTCCGTGCCCGCTGCTCCACATGATGGCATTCGACGGCCTGAACGTGCGCACGGAGACTGGGAGCCCTGTTCAAGCTCATTTCCCTTGGAATGACGTCGTGTGCGATTGAGCGTTGTACAGATCGATCAGGATTGACCCTGCTCCGGCAAGTATCTCAGCTCCACCAGCCCATGCTCCGCGCCACTCCCGTCCCGCTCCGAGGCCCCCGGGAAAGCAAGGATGTGCCTCCTCGGGTTCCAGGCCACGTCCACGGGGCAGGTACGCAGCACCTGCTTCCCCAGGTTGGCCCCTGTCCTCAGGTTCACCACCTCCAAAGCAGGCTCCTCGCTCACAATGGCCAGGTACTGGCCATCGTGACTGAACCTGTGCGGAAAGGGCCAGAGTGAGAGGAGGTGATCAGAGTCCAGAGTATGTGCAATCCAAAGCACCATGAAAGATTCAGATGCATTCCAGAGTGTGAAGCGACAGCAGCTGGGTTTCCGGAAACTGTCTGCCTGCAGCACTTGACAGTCGATCAGCACCTCATGGTAGCAGCCCGCTCACAGCAGCATCGATGCCAGCGCAGATTCGAGTCCATTCAGAGGGGTGAGAACCGAGACCACCCCTTCCCACCCATCACAACCCACCCAACGCCACGTATGGCTTGGTCCAAGTCGTAGAACGTCTGTGTGCAGATGCCCTCCTCCAGATCCCAGAGGCTGGTGACCGTGTCCATTCCCCCGCTGGCCATGCGCGTGTGCCCAGGGTCAAAGCCCATGCAGGAGACCCGGGAGACGTGGCCCTTCATAGTCCTCTCCGGCTTGAAGTCTGGGAAGCTCAGCACCTGCATGCGGCTTGGGGGATCAGGTTGCAGATCCAGTGGACAGGCACGAAGGAATGCCGCACGCAGGCGCAGCATACACCACAGCCCAGCCTTGTCACAGCAAAAGCCCATTTCACCACAGCCACCACATCCCAAGCACAGGCAGGGCGGTGCGCCCAGGTGCAGCCAAGCCGCAGCCGCTCTCACCTCGACCTCCCCAGCGTCGGTCGCGAGGTAAAAGTGCTTGGAGTCCTTGCTGAAGGCAATCTCGAATATCTGCGTGGGGAGGGTCTGGGGTTGATCATGCCCTGCACTGGGGGAGGGTGTAGGGGACCAGCCGCTGCTACATCATGCTGATCCCCGCCACGCTGGGGCTGCAAGGTCCCAATGAAGCCCATCGCACCCTGCACTCCTTGCACACATCCATCCATGCACTCAAAACAACACCGCAGTTGCAAACCCACACACACATTCTATGCCCAACGACTTCATGCTTGCCTGCTGCTTGAAGTTGTGCTTGCTGACCACCTTCATCCGTCTGACATCCAGGATGCTGACCACATCGTCTAGATTGTTCTGTTGGTGCAGCGTGGCATGATGCAAGGGGAGGTAACTGGATGGTGCCCCATCCCGGCCCCCCATGCAATAAGGTCGCTCATCCCCGCAAACGCCCCTCTCCTGTCTGTATTTAAGTCTTACTCAGGACTTTCGAGCCCCACACATCCAGTGCTCTACCCCTTCGCACCACAGCCATGTACTGGGCATCCGGCGACCAGACGAGGGACAGGTTGATCCCGGGCGTGGGCAGGGTGGCCGTGTTCTTGCCGCTCCTCGTGTCCCAAAACCTGCGCGCTTGAGGGAGCCAGGGTTGGTTGGAGCCAGGAGGCAGTCAAGGGTTGGAGGAGGGTAAATCACCTCCACGCAGACAGGGACCAAGCCTGCAGCCAGGCACGCAAGGGCAGCCCGCGTTTCCGCTCTCTCATTGTAATCCTGGCAACGCACAGCCCAGCACACCTGACCGACTGCTCAGTGAGCTGGCCCAGGGACGCGAGCTTGTCTGGGTGTGTGGGGTGCCAGGCCAGGCGGGAGACGGCGTCCTGGTGCCCCCTCATCTCCATCTCCTGCTTGAACTGTGGATGGGTGGGGGAGGGGCAGCGGAGCGGTGGGTGTGCAGCCATGCGGCCCTGGACAGGAACCTGTGTGCAGCGTGTGTTCACACTCCGCACCGGGCCGGCAGCAAGGGCATGCTTCACACCCCTGGCGCCGCTCAGCCGCACGGCACGGACCCCAGCTCACGATGCCAGCCTCGTCGCAGCTCCACACGCGCATGGTCTCGTCATGGGAGCCCGTGGCCAGCCTCCTGCCGTCCTCATTCCATCCAACGCAGAAGACCTTGACGTGGTGTCGGGGGATGTTCGAGGGGTCAACGGCTGGGGCACATCCATGCAAACATGGGGAGCCCGCCCTGCTGGTGCATGCCCCTCCACACCTTCCGCCTGTGTGCTCGCAGCTCCTTGCGTTTCCATTCCGCAATGGGGGTATCGGCATAAGCCACCGTCATCGGACAGCTGTGTTCGACCTGCCAGATGTGTCGGGCAAGGCGACCGCGAGTACGCCAGCTGGCTCGCACTGCCAGCAGCAGCGGGTTGTGCGCAGCGTCGTCAGCTCATTCCAATGCTTTATCTGTATAATTTCCTGTTAGTTCTGCGGAGCCCTGCAAATGGATGCATGCCCCTGGCTCGTGAATTTTTGTGCGATGGAGATCGTGGTCACTCGCATGGGGTGTCGAGGGCGCCAAGTTGGGTTTGGACATGGCTTACGCACTTACATTACATGGGGGGCATTCTGGCGGTTGCATTGGCAGTATTCACATTCATGTGTTCCTGTGTCAGACATTCCTTCCGGTCAGGGTAACGTATGGCGCAGGGTGCGGCCACCTCCTGGGACAGTTCACAGTCCACTCCAGATTCATTCCTGCCTCGCCTGTGCCCCATCACACGGGCGCTACCAGGCCCAGCTTGCCATAGGATGGCTTTACACGTGTGCCACGTGTCCTCATCCCTCCAGCTGGACCACGTGGGGGCAGCGGTGCGGGCATCCTGCCCTCATCGGTGCATGCCGCACCGGCCGCCGGCGCCACCCTGCGTCGCTTGGTCTGACGGATGGGATCGTGCACGATGCTCACCTTCTTGCCCCCGCCCTGCCCTCCGCGCCCGTCAGACACCTGGCTCTCAGGCCAGTAGGTCGGCGGCGGTGGGTCCATGCCGGTGCCGGCGTCAGCCAGAACTCGGCTCCCTTTGGGCATGATCGTCAGGGACTGTGTGCATGGAGGGGTTGCAATGGTAGCCGTATTGAGTCACGCGGACTTGGTGATCATGACATTGATCCATTGCAAGCTCCTCAGTTTCATTGTTCTCAGCTTCACCTGGGTCTGCAGGGAACCTGGAGGGGAGTGGATCCCGCCCGCACAGGAGTCCTCGGCGGCACGCTTGCAGGATTGCCCCAGCTCGCCTGAGGGTACATACCAAGGGCAGCACAGTGTTTAGAACTTCATCTTACGAAACCTGCTCATAATCCCCCTTGCACACAGGTCATGGCTTCCATACCTGCAGGCTCCACGCTCAGAGCCCCGATCCCATCCAGCAGCAGGTGGGCGTCATCGAGGGCGGCGCCCTGCCCAGAGCTTTTCACAGCAAAAGCCTGCCTCCCTGCAGCAGCCAACAAACCCTCTGTAAGGGGGGGTTGGAGGAAATGCTCGTATAATTGGGATTAGAGGGTTGTGTGTGGGTCCTGGCTCAGCCATGTATAGGTGACAGATAGCCGGGCATCCGACCAGAGAATCCCAGACCTTCCACAAGCTGTTGACAGTTGTTGACGAGCTGCTGAGATGGCAGGTCCAGGAAGTGCGGCACAACTTCTGCCACAGAGAACTGTTTTGGATGAAGAGACTGAATGTGAGGAGTCTGCCTTGCATAAGAGGTCCTTTGCAGTGTGGTGGATGACCCAACGCGTCAGGAGCAGCCGCTCAGAGAGCACTTGCAGCCACCCAGGAAGGTGCCAATTAAGACCCCCTTCAGGTGACCCCACCACCCACCTTCTTCCGACTCTTCACCCAGATGCGCAGACGCTCCAGATCTGTGGGTTTACAAGGGATTGTTGGCCGTTGCCTTTTCAGAGGGCATCCTGAGCACTTTCCCACAGTGCAACGCAACCTCACGAGAGGTATGCAGCGAAGATGGTAATATACCCAGCTGGAAGGCTGCTCACCCTCGCCGCCAGCCTGGCTCGGGCAGTTGCTGTCACTTCCTCCCACTCGCCCTCCCTGCACACAGAAAGAATTATCCTAGTAAGCTTCTGCAGGATTTTACTCCTGCAGACTGTTGCGAAAGCTTCCAGCTGGTGCTGCATGCGCGATTCCAACTCCCACAAAGGAGAATTGAGACGCCTTTCAGGGGCCTCCCTCGCTGTCTGCTCCCATGCAGGCCAAGGATCCCCCACACCCTTCGAAACTCAATTGCAAGCTGGATGCCATCTCACGCACCGCATCTGTGCGTCCCTCCTTCGGTTTGCCGGTCATGGCTTCGGACGCCTGGACGCTTTGGTCGTCGGCCACCGCGTTTCCCTCGCTGACCCCATCGGCCAGGGAGTCTAGGACGGACTTGACCTGGAGCGTGACTGCATGGTAGTTGCTGTCCACAGCACCCACGCATCTGGTGGGTGGGGACAAGGGATGGAAAGGGTCAGGAGGGTTGGGGTGTCAGGAAGGACATGCGATGCATGGCAGGAGGTGCAGCGGCTGTCAAGACTGCCCACAGGTAAATGGCACACCCTGGGCAGCACTCTGCCCCTCCTCATCTGACGCTCAGCGAGATCTAAAGTACTAGCTCGCGCGCACATGTTGAAGGGTTTGCGGGGGAAGCAGCCGGTTGCCCTGTGCGCTGCAGGTTCAAACATGGGAGGCTCATAGTCGGCGGGGGTGCCCTCCACGTACGTGAGCTTGATGAAGAGGTACCGCTGCAGTATTGAGTGCCAGAAGGGGGTTGATAAGATTCTGCGTGCAGGCTGTAGGGCATCCAAATGAGGAGGCTGGATCCCAACCCATCTCCGATGGCAGTGGCGCCCAGCTCTCGGCTATGGACATGCCTATGCAGCAAGAGAATGCCTTACCTCGTCCGGCACGGGCTCCAGCGTGTGGCAAACCTCCACCAGCATGCGCATCAGCCGACAGACCCTGAAGGTTGTGGTGGGGTGCCAATGCACTAGTAACTGCCATGTCACCTTGCAGTCTTGTCACCCAGCTCAGCAGTTCGAACAGCAGGCACCTGGCACACCATGAGGTGCAGTTCGGCACGATGTCAGATTCGTAACCAGCTCGCACCAGTCTCAAACTCACTGCTTCTTCACGCTCTCGACGCCAGCTGCACCGTGCCGGCTGGCAAATTTCTTTCCTTTTCCGGCCAGAGACATGTGGATGCAGCCGTCTGGGTCATACGAGAAGGTGAACACATACTGCAGGTGAGTGTGAATGGTGGAGTGGGATCGGTGCGTTTGGAACCAACACATTTACAAGAGTGGGAGTGGTGTGCGGGGCTCCAGCGAAATCTCAAGCACAATGTCAGATTCATCCAAGAGCCGAGCTGCACAGCGTCACCTGCTCCAGCAGCTGCTGCGCGTCGACATCAGCAGCAAATCCAAACAGGCACTTGTGAAGGTAGCCCTTCTCCAGTGCATCTGCCATGCCTGTGCGGTGTAGTACAGTGACGAGTGAAATATGCGAGCCAAACAGTCTACAATGCCCTGGCATGCCCGGCCCTGGAACCCTTGGGACACTCCCACGCACCGTTTTCGACCCAGGCAGCCAGACGCTGGGCCTCTTGCGTCGAAGATACCTCGCTCCCAGGCTTCATTGCTTGGGAAGGATCTTCCGGAGGTGGAAGGAGCATCTTCAAATTCATCCCTGTGAACAATTGGGCATCCAATGTGGCGTTATAGAGGGGGAATGCTGTCTGGCTCGCTGATGGTGTGGAGTGTAGCGCCCTGAGCAGACCAGCAGCCAAATAAGATCACCCTCACCGTCGAGGTGCTGCAGGTCCACGCCCTGGAAGACGTGGTCCGGCAGCAAGCCACGGAGGTAGGACACGTGGTAGATGGACTGCGTTGGGAGGGGAGTATACAGAATCGACTGGTATATGTCCAGGGATCGGGACACCTAGCGATACCACTTCGGATCATTACAAGGGAAAATCATGACAACATCACCTCACCACTTTCAAGAGGCATTGCACCTGCGCAGAGGTAGTGGGTGGAGGGTAATGCTCGGGTCGTGAAGCAGCCGAACTAAGTTTCATGAAGGAACATCCTCCTTGTCATACAGTTCCGATCATCACTGCTGCTCTGAATAATACCGACCGACTATCCTCACCAGTTGGAGCGACTCCTGGGCTGAAATCTGTGCTTGTTGCACAGCCATTGCCTGCGGTGCCATCGCGGGTCGAGTACGGAGTTTGATGTCAAGCACTAGGTGGGGTATGATACTCGAGTAGCGATGCTCTCAGGAGGCCATACAGCAAGTCAATGCGTCATGAAAGAGACATTGCTTGGGGCATGAGGCATGAAATGCTTTATTTGAGGCGCTCGCTCAGCCTGGCATGGGAGAATTTTCGAATGCACATGAAGCCCCTCGAGCCTGGGTCGAAGTTGTGGCAGCCACGGTCGCCAACAGCAAGCAACACATGAATTTCCAATTGTGAGCGATCTTTCCGATGCCCTTGACTCCATCGAGTCTTCAACATGTAAACTTTGTCAAAAATGAGTTGTCAGCTACCTGCTGATACCCGTCAAGCTCGGCAGGGTTCACATTGCCATTGTTAGCCACATTGTTAGCATGGACATTGACATCCAGCTACTGGGGCAGGCGACTCGCCTGTCCTTTGACGACCTCAGAGCTGCCATCCAGGCGCGCCATTGGAACCAGTCGGTCGCCAAAGTCCGACTCATGCCTGCTTTGAGAACGAGGGAAGGGGCTTGTTAGCCTGACTGTAATTCAAAGAAGCAACCAGCAGCCACATGCGGACGGGGGGATAACCCTGTCTGCCTTTCACCCTCAGCGTCCCAAGGCTCCTGACGTCTATTTGCAGTTGCACCACAATCTCCTACCTCGTCAAGGGGGCCTCGCCCGCCTCCTCGGCCGCCGCAGCCGCATGCACGCCGTACAGGCAGTAGATGAGCGCGCCGAGCGCTGTCCAAGCCCCAAAGCAGGCCTGGGTGGCCACGCCCAGGCTGCAGAAGAGGTGGATGTTCACCAGCAGGCCCAGGGCGGGCGTGATGGGGAACAGGGGCACGGAGAAACTCTTCTGGAAGGTGGTCACCTGCTGCGCACGCGGGATGAAGCAGAGCGAGGCCGCGCCCAGCGCCCACAGCGCGGCCAGGACGACCAGGACGGCGAGGGGCGCGCCGAAGCGGAAGGCCAGGCTCGCGCCTTTGGAGATGGGCGAGGACGTGGTGGGGTTTTGAGGGCGGGTAGAAGTCGGCTGCCCCACTGCACCTCGCATGAGACCTCACTCCCGGTCCCACTTGAGGCAAGGACAATAACAAGCAGAGGTCCCCATGTCCCGACCGCTTCCCTTCAACCAACATCTGCTCACCCAGGGACAACAAGCACAGGCCTCCCACGACGCGCAGCGCAGCGCGGCCGTGGCCGCTGGCGCGGTAGCGGCGGTGCAGAACCGCCATGCAGACCAGGAGGAAGACATGCAGCGTGCCGGCCGATACCACCTCCGCCAGGATGCCGATGTCCATGAGCAGGCTCAGCGTGCCCGCCAGCGCGGCGGCCGCCAGGCTGGCGGCCACGGGGGTCTGCCGGCCCGGGTGCACACGCGCCAGCGCGTGGGGCAGCAGGAAAGCGCGACCCAGGGTCACCAGCACCCTGGCGCCCGCCAGCAGGCCGCAGAGGCAGGAGGTGATGATGCCTGGGGTATGGCGGAGGGAGTTTGGAGGTCGAAATTCTGGGGGGGAGGGTGTGGCGGTCCAAGGCGTCAGAGCAAGGAACGCAGGTGCGGGTCGCGAGAGGGACATCCAAGGAGCTCTCTTACTGGGCCATTTGCCTGCCTGTGCCCGGGGGTGTTCCCAAGGCCTGCACGGCAAGCACGCAAGGCACTGATGACCTCCTCGTCCCTACTCCTCAGCAGCTTCGTCCGCCCGCACATACACATCCTTGGGTAGATTACACCCCTCACCTGCCAGTGCGCCCGCGGAGACGGCACGCGCCACCCACTCCAGTCCGGCGGACGTGAAGGCGACGGAGAAGGCGGCGTGGGTGTCGATCTTGCCGCGCGGCACCAGCGCCACGATGCAGGCGCTGGCGGCCACATACAGCGCGGTTGTTAGACCCAGGGACCCCAGGATGGCCAGGGGCAGGTCCCGGGAGGGCTCCAGAGCCTGGTGGGAGAGGGTAACAGGGGGCGATGGGCTTTGAAATGCTGGGGGGTGCAGTTCTTGGATGGGGGAGAGGGGGTGCTCTTCAAGGGTGCACGGCAAGTATGATGAGGAGATGGGCTGATGCGGGTGACGACACGCCCTGCCCAGCTGCGGCTGTGGTGTTGCTGCCCGTGCATCGCCCCGCAGCACAGGACCGAGCCTCGCCCCGCCTCCCCACCTCCTCGGCGGCGTTGGCCACCATCTCGAAGCCGACGTAGGAGAAAAAGACCAGGCTGGCCCCGGAGAAGACGCCGCGCACGCCCTCCGGGGCAAAGGGCGTAAGGTTGGCGAGCGAGGCGCGGGGCAGGCCCATGCCCAGCACCAGCGCGATGGCGGCGAGCTTGGCGATAGACACCACTGCGTGCGGCGGGGTCAGGAAGGGAGGAATTGGGGGGTTGGCGGACGTCAAGTGGCAGGCATTTGCTGCCGGCTGTGGAGTGACTGCGCATCATCGATGGCTCGGCAAGTGGCGCCGCTGCTGTGCAGAGTATTGCTCCCCCCTTCCCCACCCCCCTCCCTACCCACCTCGGTTGAAAAGCATCCCCTGCTTCACGCTCCAGATGAGCAGGCCGGAGAGCGCGAGCACCAGCCCGGCGGCCAGGGGGTCCAGCTCCAGGCCGAGTGCGGGGATGCTGATCAGCAGCGCCCTGGCGTCGGCCCCCGCCAGGGTGGCGGCGTATCCGGACAGGCCCCGTGCCACGGCCGCCGAGGAAAGCACAGTCTCCAGTACCATGCTCCAGCCCACTGACCAGGCGGGGCCCTCCCCAAACACGACGTACGTGTAGTCAAAGGCGCTGCCAGCCACTGCACGGTGGTTTTGGAATGTTGAAAAAATTGAGGGGGGCTGCCTGCACATTGCATGATAGTAGTTTCGGGGCACCCTCAGCATGTCATGAGTTTCTTGGTCAGCCTTTTGCCTGGTGCACAGTACTGAATACTTCGCGAAACCTTGCATAACCCCAAAAATATAGCAGTGCGAGTTGTGCATCGCAAATTACACCCCCAACCCCTTCTACCTGGCATGCTGGCAGCCAACTCGGCATAGTTGAGCGCCGAGAGACCAGCGGCCAGTGCGGCGAGCACGTAGGACAGGATGATGGCTGGCCCTGTGCACGTCGCGGTTGGAGAGGAGATGCCATAGGACTGGAAGCTCAACACAGCCATGCATTGGCCACCAACCCACACAGTGCTACCTAGGAAGGTCTAGTACGTGGGCACCAATCGCTCGCATTCCTCTCCCACACCCCAGACCGTGCCTGCCACTGTCGCCGCTGCGACGCCCGTGATGACAAAGATGCCAGCCCCCACCATGGACCCGATGCCCAGGAAGGTGAGGTCCCAGACAGTGAGGCAGCGCCGCAGGGGCACCTCAGCACTAGCTTCGGGCCCAGGACCCGCCAGGCGTGGCACCAGGGCGCGGGAGCGGAGCAGGCGTAGGGTGCTTGCCATGGTGGGGCTGTGATGGGGCCGCTGGCTCTGAGGCGAGGAGCCTAAGAAGCCGGCATGGCGCCGTGAGAGTGCCAAGGCACCGTAGTTCTCATGATAGAAAGCGAGGTCGCACCGCTACTGCACAGGCCCTAAGAGGTCCGTGCACCCAGCCCTGGAATATCAAAGCGCCCAATTCGGACACGATCTGATGCGATATGGAAGAGCGGCACACGGAATTTCGCCTGCCCAAATCTTAAAGCGACGTCGATGTGTGTGCGGGATCCCCAGCTCGGCATCGCAATGCGCCTGCCTCTGGCACTGACTTTGAATCTCGGGGCTGCAAATAACCCTCGCAGTCCCGCGCGCTCTCGTACATTGATGGACCTGAAAATTTTGCAGCATCGTTATCTGCCAACGCGATATTTCACAGTCGAGGACCCCAGTCCTCGACTGTAGCACGCAGTGTGCTGCATCTCAAACAAAACATGGGGATGGACAAGCGCTACTCAGTCCTCAAGCGGCGGCGCGACCGCCCTATGCGCCATGCTCCTTCCTCCAGTCGTGGTAGTACAGCATGATGGACAGGGGCTGGCCCAGGATGCAGAAGCTCATCCAGAAAATAGCGTTGCCAATGCGGTCGCTCTCAAAGCGCTGCTTCAGCTTCTCGGTGATCAGCATGAGAGGTACCTGGAGGTCCGGGGCAAGGGAAGTGTGGGAGTGAAGGGAGCTGCCCGTTCCGGCTGCACTCCCACCAAGGCCCTTGCACCACACAGGCGCTGCAAGCCGCGGTCCAGCTCGCCCTCAGCCCACCTGCGCCATCAGGCCATAGAACGCCCAGCCCTTGACCATGTGCAGAGGCAGGGCCACCAGGATCTCGTGGAAGACCGCAGACACAAAGAAAACAATCAGGCCTGAGCGTGGGGAGTGGGTGAGATGTGGGGTTCGGAATGCTCGACTCACTCACAATGGGAGCCCGATGAGTGGGCTGGCCTGAGGAGGGCGCCCACTCACACCCCAGACCCAAGAGCATGGTGCCTTTCAGGGTTGGCGGCAGCGTGCAGGCAGGATGATCACCCCCGGCCAAGAAGCTTGATGACGGCATCGCGCTGCCCGGAGCAAGGAACCCCGCCCGGCAACCTGAGAGCCACCCTGCCGCGTCGCGCACCAGCCGTGAACTTTGGAATCTTGTGCCGGACGCAGGGGAAGTAGACGTGGCGCAGCATCCAGGAGTGCACCGGCATGTTCCAGAGGCGCCAGTACTCGCCCACGGTCGTGGCATTCCACCACTCCTGTGCGGTGGCGGGGCGGCACGTGAGGCAAGGGGCTTGCAGCATGCTTGTGATCTCGGCCACAGCTGGGCATGCATGACTCATCCTGCGATGCAACATGACATAGCCTCCCCTACCTTCCACTCCCACAGGACCCCCACCCAACCCCAGCGCGCCTTATAAAACTCGCGGTCGCCGAACCCGGTGAGCTCCGCCACGATGTTGAGCCAGAGATCGAAGAGCGTGTAGAACATGAGCAGCCAGAGGTAGAGGTTGGGCAGGGACAGCTTGAGCAGGCGCTCCACCATGCGCGGCCAGTCCTTCGGCAGCCCAGGCGTGATGGGTGAGTGGTGCGGTGCGTCCTGCACACCGGGGGTTGTTCACCGCGACCCCACCATCCTGCTCAGAGCGGCATGCAGCCGCACCTGCCCGTGCATAACCCACAGCAAGGTCCATCCCTTCCTCTGCGCCCCCCACACATCCCATCTCACCATGGTCATCATGGGCTGGATGCTGTTATGGATGGTGGGCTCGATGTACTGCTCGATGATGAAGAGCATGGTTGTCAGCGTCACCAGCATGGTCGCCACCCGCCTGCGATTGGATTGGTGTTGATGGTGGTGGTGAGGCCGTCGATGTGCAAGTCGGTTGCCCTCAACAGACCTCGGGGCACTATTGGTTCCCAAGGGCACACCACAACAGCAGGGCAAGGGTGCCAGGTGAGTGTGTGTGGATTCGCACACCAAGTGGACGACTCATGGCACTCAGCCCCCACTCAGCCTGCCCAGGGTGTAGGGCATGCATGCGCCCCCGGGCCCCCCCCTCTCCCCTTCATGAGAACCATGCCCCACCGAGCCCCCCCTCTCCCCTTCATGACACCCCCCCCCCTTTATGCCGCCGTGCCTGAGCAGCCATCTGATGCGGAAGCGGGTGGAACGCGGGTAGGTGAGCTGGTAGCACAGCGTGGGCACGGCCAGGAAGTAGGCCAGGTTGCCCAGCGTCAGATTCTCCGGGTAGCGCAGCGGCGGGTCGCCGTGCGCGGGCAGCAGGCCGGAGCCGCGCTCGCCGTCGCGCAGCTCATGCGCGCGGCGCGCGCAGCGCAGGTCCCAGTTGCAGTGCGCGTAGGACACGGCCTTCATCCACAGCACGATGGCCACGGCGGTGAGCGCGAAGCCCGGCAGCACCTCCGAGTCGGTGTAGTGGATGACGGCGCTGGGCACCGCCAGCATGGCGCTGGTGTTGGCTACGTTGAGCGCCAGGATCAGCCACTCCGCGGCGCCGGCGCCCACGGCGCTCTTGCCGCCGCCGCCGGCGCTGCGCCCCTCCCCCTTCTTGGCCGCCGCGGCGTCGCGGGCCTGCTCTCGGCGCAGTGCGGCCAGGGCCAGGCGCTCGATGCCCAGGGCGGCGAGGCAGAGGGCGAGCAGCGTGGGCCAGCAGAGGAAGAGGAGGGGGTTGTTCTGGGGGGTCAGCGCGCGGCGCGCAAAGGTGACGGGGTTGAAGCGCAGGCCGTACTTGAGCAGGTTCTCCAGGATGAGCCGGAAGTTGGCCGCCGCCAGCACCAGCAGCGTCAGGTTCACCATGCCGTTCTGGTTGCTGGACAGCACGCGCTCCGAGGACATGATGGAGTACTTGGTGGCGGTGTGCAGCGGGGCGGACGGCTTCATGGCCTCGCGCTTGCGCTTGGGTTGGCCCTCGCCGGAGCCCTCGCGCGCGGAGCCTTGGTGGTGCCCGCCATGCCCGCCGCCGCCGCCGTTGCCACTGGGCGGCCGGCGAGGGGGCCGGCTCTGCACGTCCGACGTGTCGGAGGTGTAGCCGATGTGCTTGCCGGACACGGCGGCAGCCCCCGCGCCGCCGCTGGACTCGGCCTCGCTGTCCTCCCCGCCCACCGTGTTCACGGTGGAGGAGCTGTCGCGGCGCGCCAGCTCGCCCTCCTCGCCGCCGCTGCGGCGCCGGCACCCGGCGCGTTCCAGCGCGTCCATCCAGGCGCGCGCCTCGGATGGCGAGTCGCTGCTCAGGCGCAGCAGCGTCGCCCCTGCGCTGTCCACGATCTGGAAGGTGTGGAAGGCGCGGCGCTTCAGCCCCTCCGCCACCACGCTCGTGCCCTCCAGGTCCAGCTGGCCGCGCGGGTGAAACTGCACGCCCTCTTCGTTGCGGTAGTAGGACAGGTGTCCCGTGCGAACGACCACGAAGCGAGGCTCCCAGGTGTGTGCCCAGAGCGAGGCGGTGGCGTGCGGGCGGTACTTGTTCAGGTACCCAGACTGAGTCGCGCCCTGGGAGGTCCGCTCCGAGATCTGTTTATGGGTGGGGAAGGGGGGGGGGAAGAGGGCCACGGTGGGATGTTCAGGTACATGTTTGTGGACTGATGCTTGTGCAAATTGGGGCATAGTCTACACCTGAATGATCAAGTTTAATCCCTGGACGGCCAGTAGAATGCATATTAAATGGTGGAGCTGAGGTGATGAGCAGGGAGTCACTCCCCCGAAATGGACGAGACCCACGACCATCGCCACCCTCGACACACGCACGCCCCAATGCCTTGTCAGCCATCAAGGTCCCCAGCTCACGCACCAGCTCCTTCAGGCGCTGATTCTCCTGCTTGAGCGACTCGATCGTGGCCTCCAAGGGGTTGGGTGGCGACGAAGACCTCTTGCTTCCCGACCCCGTTAGCCTCCCCCAAGGCGAAACCCTCTCTTTGGACATGGTTTCGCTAGTCTGCTCTCTTTCAAAACTTATGGGTTGGCGTGCCGAGACGCCGGCCGATCAAGGAGTGATAAAGTACACGGGGTGGAATCCCTGTGGCAAGGCGCAGCACCCCGGGTGGGGCGTGCAGGGTGGAGAGAGGCAGATCCCAGGCCCGTTCTCGAGTCAAAATCAAGGTAACAAGATATGGTATGTGGATACTGGCCTCCACCCGGCAGGCTCTCGAGCTCGGGTGAGAAGGCGCGTGATGCAGTGTCGGGGATGGGGGAGATCGAGGTCCGACGTGTTCGAACCCCAGCAGTGTCGAGTGCCGGCAATGCTCCGGAGGTGCACCATCGTATCGCGAACGCAAGCTACGATCTCTACGTTCTTACATTACATCCATACGCCTAATGACAGACGGCTCCTTCCCTGATCGCGCTACAAGCTCTAAACGCTCCGTAAACCCCCGCTTCACACTGGAGGTCACTTCACCATTAATGGTGGAGTAAACAGGGATCCGAGCATGCTGCAACCTCTCACTTGTGCACGCAGTGCTCTTAAAGACAGCTTGACGATACAGTGTCAAAGTTTGCCCGGCGCACCGAGACTCCATTGCCAGACCCCCTGTCCAGGCAAGTATGCTTTCCTGCCATTGCGAGCCCTGATCCCTGGCCCAGGTCTTCCTCCCTCCAATTTATCACCTACACCTGGATTTTGCCATCACGCATGTTCCCAATCTCCCATCACAGGGCCTCTGCGGCCGCAGGCTGGCCGCGGCATGCCCAATCGGCAGGCACCTGCTCGCAGCCTGCCAGCCATAGCGTCTGAGCCCAGCGTGGACAGCGTGGCCGCCGAGCCCAGCTCCCTCCCCGCCATGCCACACATTGTCGTGTTCAGTGGGGGCACAGCCTTCAACAGCGTCGCGGGTGCGGCGTGGTTGGTGCATTGCGGGCATGGGGCTTTGGCACGGGCCTCCCCCTGGTGGAGGCCTCTGTAACCCGGATGCCTTCGTGGCTGACACTCGAACGCAGCTTACAATATCGCACCCCCGGCCCCACCCACAGGCCACTTCAAGCAGCTTACGCACAACGTGACGCATGTGCTGCCTGTCACAGACGACGGCGGCAGCACGGCTGAGGTGGTGCGAGTGCTGGGCGGCCCTGCCGTGGGTGATATCCGCTCACGCTGCCTGCGCCTGGCAGAGGAGGGCGATGCCGAGGTGGGTGCTGCAGGGAGAAGAAGGGTGGCCTCGCGCCCTGCGGTCTTCGACTCGTGCATGCTGGCTGTGCGCAGTGGCATGGCGATGCAGCTCAGGCGTGTCTTGTCCATCGGGCGCTGCCATATGCTGGCAACCGAGACTGGCAGAAGAAAAGTGGACTGGACAGTGCATGACCGGTCTCTCGCTGCCACCCACTCCCCACTCGGCCACACCTTGCTGCCCCAGTCGGAGGCTGTCCGGCAGCTGCTGGGACACCGCCTGTCCTCTACCGATCCAGAGGCCGCGCGCCAGGAGTGGTACCGCATCGTGGAGGGGGAGCACCCCCTCTGGCAGGTATGAGATATTGAGGCATGGTCACGACGCGGGCAAGAGAAGTGCCTGCTTGGTTTCCTCAGCATGGCGTCGGACAGCACGAGGCTGATCTAGGATGGGCTGAGGCATGCCAGGGTCCTGCAACATCGGCGTTCAATGTTCCTGCCTTGACTGTTCCAGCCCCATCTCCAACTTCCTCACCCTCCGCTGCATCTCGTCCTGCATCCTCTGTGCTCTTACAAATTCACACAAACACAATTCACAAATCCCTCCCCCCCCCACCCCCCAGGACCTGACTGAGCCGTACAAGCACACCATCCGCGCCTTCCTGGTGCACTTCCAGGCCAACATCCTGCGCCACGCCTCCCGTCGCTTCAACTTCCAGTCCGGCTCGGTGGGCAACTTCTTCTTCGCCGGCGCGCGCATCTTCTTCCGCTCCCTGGAGGCCGCCATCTTCCTCTTCTCCCGCGTCGCGCGCATCCCTGAGGGCACCGAGACCCTGCCGGCGCTGCCCAGCGAGGGCGCGCTGCGCCTCGGCGCCGAGCTGGCCGACGGCTCCTGGGTCATCGGCCAATCAGCCATCTCCCACCCGGCCGCCGCGGGGGCCGAGGCGCAGTCGGTGGACAAGGCCTGCGCGGCGCCGCTGCCCGCCGCCATCCGCCGCGCCTTCTACCTGTCCAGCGACGGCGACGGCGCGGAGCACGAGGTGGCGCCCGACGCCAACCCGCGCACGCTGGCCGCGCTAGGCCGGGCGCAGGCCGTGATCTACGGCATGGGCTCCCTCTACACCTCCCTGGTGCCCCACCTGGTGCTGCGCGGGGTGGGTGAGACCATCGCCGCCGCCCGCTGCCCCAAGGTTTGTTGTTTCTCGTGCTTCAGGGTCGAACGGGGGATGTCGGGCCCAAGAGGGGTGGCGCGGAAGGGTAGCCCGTGCCGAGCTCGATGCCAGTGAGACCCCGGCAGCCTGTGCGCTGGGCACTGGGCTTCACTGGAGCGGACAGGTGCTGCCCCGCACCAAAGCTCATGGCCGCCGGGTGGCATGCGCGATGGCCTGCCAAGCCACATCCCATGCCCACCCAAACCACACACCCCGTCCCCACCCTCCCCAACCCCCAACCCACCAGATCCTGATGCTCAACGGCGCGGTGGACCGGGAGACGGGGCAGTGCCTGCGGCGGCCGGGCGCCATGGCCGCCTCGGACGTGCTCCTGGCCCTGACCGACGCGCTGAATCGGCGGGGCGGGCGGCGGGACCCCGGCCTGGATCACCCGCCCTCGGCGTACTGCACTGCGGTGCTGGCGCCGCGCGGCGGCGGCGTGGAGGTGGACGCCGACGCGCTGGCCGCGCTGGGCGTGCGCGTCGTGCGCAGCGTGAGCGCCGAGTGGAGCGCCGAGGCCGGCGCGGCGCACTACGACCCCGACGCCCTCGTGGCGGCGGTCAGGGACCTGCTTGCGTGATGACGACGCATGCCGGGGAGGCGAAGGCCGGAGCGCTGAGGACCTGCATCGATGAGCGAGCCTCCGTATCCGAGTCCTCGCCACCACACAGTGCATGCCTCGAAACCCTCATCTCCAGGGCCTGCGTTGGCCCCCCTCCACTCGGACCACCATCGCGCACCAGGTCTGCCCCGCTGGGAATCGTGATTGTACAAGGACATGCACGCTAGCATCCCCAAGCGGGAGCTTGCTGTTTTATGGGGGGCTTATTGAGCTAGAAGACACCCAGCAGGGAATGCAAGGGGGCCTGGGCAGGGAGCAAATGCCAGGCGCGCCCAGGGACCAAGGGGATTGCAGTCTGAGTCTCAAGGTGCAGTGCAAGACGCCCAGATTCAAGTGTACAGATGCAGGCGTAAAGGGGGGTGAGTATGGGCCTTCTCGCTGCCTTGGGTGGCCCACGGGGCTTGCCCCAGCGCGATCCCAAGGGCCACGGCGGCAGCGACCCATGGTGGGCGCTCGGGTGCCCATGCCACAGCCTTCCAGGCGCTCCGCATGAGGCCGCCGACAGGCATCAGGGGCCCTCAGGCGACGGAGCGGCGGCCGCCCGTCAGCTTGCGCCACAGCGTGCGCAGCGGGTGCTGCAGCTCCTCGGAGGTCTTGTAGAAGACGATGTCGCCGCTGTCGTCGACGTAGTGGTCCTTGCTCATGGAGCGCAGCAGCGGCTCCAGCAGGTGCACCGGCAGCGGGCCGGGGGAGGGCTCCACCTTGCGGTAGTACTGCCCCAGAACCGGCTTCACCGCCTCGGTGGCCGTGACCAGGTTGTAGTGCGGGATCTGGGGGAAGAGGTGGTGCACAACGTGCGTCCCAATGTCATGGTGGATCTTGTTGAAGATGCCGTAGTCGCGGTCGATGGTGGACAGGCCGCCGCGCATGTAGCTCCACTCCTGTGGAGGAGGGGGGGTTGAGGGTGAGGGTCAATAAGTGGGCTGGTGCGCTCCAACACCAAGCGATTGAGGTGGGGCCTAGAGGGTGTAATGTGTACAAAAAAAGAAAGGCAGTCTGTCTCCAGCATCTGCAAAGCAATCAGCCACCACACCAGTCCACCTTTCTTCCAAGTCACACTCAACCACAGGCCCCCATCTACCCCCAACCCCAGGCCCATGACTCACCTCGCCACGGTACCAGGGCATCTCCTCCTCGGGGTTTGAGGGGCCGTGGTGGTGGAGGTAAGTCACGAGGTCCAGCCACATGACGGAGACAATGTAGGGCAGGAAGTAGAGCTTGATCATGGCGGGCAGGCCCAGTGCCCAGGTGCAGGCGCCCAGCACGCCGACAAACGCCAGCTGGACCGCATTAGAGGTGCGAATCTGGGGGAGAAAGGGAAAATGCGTATCCATGGCATTATTTATTGAGCAGCGCATACATGGAGGGTCTTATCTCAGAATATGAAAGGAGTGCAATGGCAATCAGGTCTGTCAAAGGACTACTGTGCTATCTCTCTAGCAAGGCACATATGGCTGTGTGCATAATTGAGCCTGAGCATACGCCAGAACCTTCTCAGCATAGTCAGCTGCAGTGGTCTTACTCTGTCCTCACAGAGATTGCACACCACCCATCGCGCCACTCGTCTCGGTACAGAGACCTCCACACCTGCGACACAACTCACCATTGGGGCTTCACGAGGGGTGAAAAGGTCGGTCTCGGGGCTGTAGTGCGAGCCCTCTTTTCCCGGGGACCGGGCGAGGAGGTAAAAGGGGTACGCCAGCAGGGAGATGGGGAACACAAATCGGCCCAGCTTCCCTGTGAAGCTCAGGGAGTCGAACACCGTCTCCCTGCAGGAGGAGGTGAGGAGGGGATCAGCATGTGAGTAAGGCGCATGAATTGAGCCTCCAAGGTCATACTTGTGCTCTGCAACCTGATACTCGCCCCTATTGATTGCCTTCAAGATACATCCTACCCTATGCGGGTCCAACACCAGCCGTGTTGGTATCATAGCATGTATCTTGGACCCCAGGACGCAGACCAGCCTACTCATGCCGTGACTCGACCAACCACAATGACTCACGAGGGAGGGTACCACGACTCGTCGTTCTCCACATGGCCATGGTTGTTGTGGTGGGTCCGGTGCGAGATGCGCCAGCCATGGTAGGGGACGCCAATGGAGGAGTGCACAATCAGGCCGACCACGTCATTCAGCTGCTTGTTTGTGCTGAAGCTCTGGTGGCCGCTGCAGGGAATATGGGTCATAGTGGTGGTCAGTTGTTGAAGGGGCCCATTGTGGCATGCACTGCGGCATGTCCCCGACAGCATCTATTGTCCAGCCAAGTCGGGCTGGGATCAGCAGGCAAGGCGGAGCCTGGCGATGCTCTTGTCCCCACTGCATGCCCTGCAGGGTCGCCAGATTACCCCCTCCAACCGCACCAGTCGTGGCCGACGACAAACAGGGCCCAGAACATGGTCCCCTGCGCCAGCCAGTAGAAGGGCCAGAGCCATGGCGAGTTGACGGCATGTGCTGTCACGGCCAGGGCAGCAACGATTCCTACATCTAGCGCCAGGTAGGCGAAGGACTTGAAGGTGTCCTTCTTCCAGCACTCCGCCGGGATGGCGTTGCGGATGTCTTGGAGGGAGAAGGGAGGGCGGTTGGCCAGTTCGCGGCCCCCCTGAAGTATTCATGGTTCAGGGATTGAGTAGCGGGTCGTTTCCGGAGCACGAGCGCTGCAGGGGCCGACCTCGATCATGACTCACCGTGAAGGTCTCTGATGCAGGTGGGGCTTGAGGCTGAGATGCAGGTCGCAGCGGGGGCGGAGCAGGGGCTGCGATGGACCTTGTTACGAGGTCTGACATCCGTCTGCGAGCTTGTGGGCGGGCATGGTGGCCCAGGCGCACGAAGGGGGACCCCCGCTCCAACCTAGCACCGCCTGAAGGCGGCGCCCTGCAGCTCAAACTACCAGCGCACAGGACCATCGAGAGCTTTAAAACGTTAGTATTCCAAAAAAATGAGCGTTGACGAAGGAGAGGGCAAAATATAATGTTGTGCCCTGGCCCGCACGCGTGCTTAGGGGGGTCGCCTAGCCAAGAGGTACGAGCCACCCATATCAGAGCCATATCAGATCCGGGGGCGTGGCGCAGGGGCATGAGAGGTCAGGTTCCAGCAGAGGAGGGGCAGGACTTTAAGGGCCTCCAGAGACAGATCACAAATCCTTTCTCCAACTATACGAGGATGTTATTGTCAACGAAAGTGCGAGCGGGTATCCCCTGCAATGGACGACCATGCGGACCTGCCATGAGGGCGCCTTCGTTGCACCGATCATGGGGCCATCCACGCCCGATAATGCCACCGTGCCGCGCGATCAACATCGACTTTAGCGATCCGGACACCCTGGTTGCTGTAGGGGGGGCTCTACTGGGAGTGGCCCTGGGGGTGGGTGTCCCTGCCTTTTACATCTCGCGGGACCGCCGCGACGAGCAGCGCCTGGAGGAGCTCCGCGAGCTGAACAGGAACACCAAGATGCAGACTGGGGAGTACATGACCAAGGTACATGGGCGAGTGAGGCAGTGCATGGAGTGATCGAGCACAATGTCACTTCGTCACCTTGGGTTTCTCCCGGCATGGTCGTCCTTGCCTCGCCCTGCATACAAACTCCCGGCCACGGGCTCATACACTCAGGAGGAGATTGCTGCGTTCAGGAGACCCCGGTGGACAGACGGGCGCGACTTCGTGGATGACGACTGACTGTGCTGTGCCCCCTATGATTGTTAATTGATGTACACAGAACTTGACAGGAATATGGAAGGTCCTCCTTCAAGAAACCTGGAGGGAAACCATGAGCAGGGCAGGCGCGCATGGCGAGGGCTTGCAAGGGCAGCCCTCCTGCCCTTCACAACCCCCTTTCCCCCGGGGGGGACGCCTCAGACCTCCTCCATGCCCTCCTCGGCGAGCTCCGCGAGCTGCTGGTGCCGCGAGCGGCGTGAGGTGCGGCGGTGCGTCTTGCTCTCCAGCTTGGCCTCCAGCACACGCCGGCCCCCTGCCCGAGCCTTCACCCGCGTCGTGCCCTGCCGCGCCTTCTTCCCCACGGCTCGCGCCGCCTCCTCCCGCTCTGCCGCCACGCGCTCCTCCAGCAGCGCCACGTAGTGCTGGTACCGCGCCCAGGGCGGCTGCGCCACGCGGCATCCCGGCTCACCCAGGTGGCGGCAGTTGGCAAAGGCGCAGGCCCGCTCGCCGCGCGCCCGGATCTCGGGGAAGAAGGAGGCCAGGCGGTCGGGGGGGACGCCCTCCAGCCCCGGCTGGTTGAACCCGGGCGTGTCCACCACCGCGCCGGCCCCCAGGGGCAGCAGCGTCACGTTGCGCGTGGTGTGCCGCCCGCGCCCGATGCGCGGGCTCACCTCCCCCACCGCCTGCTCCACGGGCGTGGGGTCCACCCCCGCCGCCGAGGTCGCACGCCGGGCCAGAGCGTTGATCAGCGAGGACTTGCCCCCCCCGGAGGGGCCGGCCAGCACCGCCGTGTGCCCCGCCATGGCGTCAGCCATTTCTGCCAGCCCCACGCCCGTCTCCGTGCTGGCCAGGATGACGTTGTAGCCCCAGGAGGTGACCTGGGGGGAGGGGAAAGGGGGGGGAGTAAAAGGGACTATGGGGGGGAAACTCTTGGATGCCGTGTCTGGTATTCTGTTGATTATTACTTATGCATTTGACAGCCGTGCAGAGGAGGACACTGGTCCAGGGACGGCGGAGGAGATCCGATGCTCCCCCCCACCCCACCCACCACCTGTGACCCCCAACGAGGCGCCCCCCCTCGATCCCACACACACCTGGCCCCCACCTGCCCC